AAAGACTTGCTAGTGTGTGTGTGGGGTTAGAGGCATGGGGAGAGATGGAGATCTCCAGAGCAGACATGTGCTTGTTAAGCTCTAAAGTACTTGCCCTATGAAGACACCATAACTGAAAGCTTACAGCAGATCCTGCTCTCTGGATGTGTTCTGTGACTGGCTGGATCAAAACACATTGCCTCAGTTTGGCCTTTTCAAATACTCTTTAACATAACCTTGCACTATTAGTTCTTTAGAAATTGCAATTGTTTAATTGGAAGAGATTGACTCCGAGTGCCACCCAGTTTTGTCAAAGTAGAGCAGCTTTCCAATGCTCTTCTGCTCTTTGGGCAACTGACATGCTCAAAGACATTCCTGTTTTAAAAAACATTCCTGATCACAAAGGATGTTGCCAGAAATTACTACATCAAATATTTGGTCAGTATTTGTGAAACTGTATTACTGTGATTTGGTTATGAAAAACTGCAGAAGTACAAAAGAAGTGGAAGGGAAATACACTCATATTAATTCCCTCTATTTTTTCCAATAGCTCACTGGATTCTAATATTTAGTTCTGAGTCTCTAGTTAGTGATATGTCTCTAAAGATAAATGAGGTGCTATAAATATTTTGTTTGCACTAAACAGTTCAAATGTATGGTCCTTCAAAATTACTGTAAGCACTCAAATCATAGGATTAGCAAAGGAATCAAAATGGGACCACAGAAAAACTCTGTCTAGAAGACTATCAGCAGCTTAGAACTCCATGCTTCTATGATTTGCATCCAGCATTTCATGCTATGCTGGCATAGAAAAAATATAATGCTTTAAATTTCATACTGCAATTATTTAAAATGGAGAGAAAGAATAAAACCTATGAACAGTTGCAAGTTAGTTTCTTAAGATATTCATTCCATCATTATAGAAACAACAGTGTCTGGAAAACTAATTATAGCAGGACCTTTCAGATCTGACCTACCGAGAAAGACATTTGTTAATAAAGCAACACATCAAGCGGAATATTCTAGATTGTCTGACATTTTCCCCATTTTGTTTGATATGAAACAGGAAAAAGTGGAGAAGAGATGACTTAAACATCCTTTTTATTACTTTTATTATCTTATGACGTAAGTTAGGGCAGCTTCATAGAATATGATGAATACAGATCCTGGAACTCTGTGTCTTTTTTATGGGACAATCTTCACTTTGGCAATTGTGCTGACTGTTGGCAAAGACACAAATGTAGCATTTGGTGGAAAAAATGAATCTGTGAGGGTATGTAAGGAGCTATTTATCCAAATGTGTAATATTTTGACCTTATGATGTTCTATGTATTTGTTCAATGCCCAAGTCTGTTTCACAAGGATGACGAATATACACTTGTGCCATGTCCTGTGCTGGGGGGACAGCATGGCCACAGGCTTCGAGTCTCCTGAGCCTGAATGAGAGTAGAAAAGGTGGTTCACTGCAGCAGCAAGTCATGTTACCTAGGCTAGGTGTTCGGTTTCAGTGCTGACATGCTAGTGTTTACAGCTGCAAAATGGCTCAGTAACAAATCTAAGAAAAAAATCAGGATCCCTTCCGCCCCCCCATGCCCCAAGAAATTTATCTCCTAAGGGTTTCTTTTGTTCCTGAGCTCAATTATTGTACAGATTCACAGAGATGCAATCTCTTCAACAACACAATCGTGCTGCTTAGAGAGTCAACTGGGACAGCTTTTTTTCCACTGATAGGGTTTTTTTCTAGCAATGACATTGCTTGATGTCATTACTGTTTTGTATCATCTGGAGGTCCAAAAACTTCACTCTGTCAGTCACTAGTTATCACTTGACTGACTCCATCTATTCTGTGATGGATGCTTTGAGACTGGGGATTTTTTGGTTGGTGTGTTTTGGACTTGCTTTTTTGTTGTTTGGTTGGGGTTTTTTCTTTGTTTGGGGTGGGGTTCTTTTTAGGTTTTTTTTTTTCCTTGGTTTGTTGGTTTTAAGGGTTTTTCAGCCCCTCTGAGACTTTCCCTGCAAAGAACTCAGTATTAATAATTGATCATCTAAAATGAATCTTGGATCATGTTGCAAATCATGAGTTGCTTAGGAAAGCACAAAGGAAACTATAGAAAATAAGTATAAATTGAATCCTGTTGGTTCCCAGCTCAGGTTTGCCTTGTGGTGTGACTGGAGTCCATTCTTCATGAATAAATCTGTCTCCCTCTGTGACTTTTCAGGGCTTGTTCTCATGTAATGCACTGGTTAGTGGATGCTCTAAACTCCTCTGTGTCACATCCTCTGAGCATGCAATTAACTTCCTTTTAACAATGAAGTGTTTGGCAAGGTGTAGGAGAATCTGCGATTGGCAGTGGAGAATGTTGATCAGTTTTTTGTATTTTTGGCCAGAAGTTTCTTCTCACAGTGTGAAACTGGCATTCTCTGAATTCGAAGGAGAGTTCCCTTTTTTTTTTGATGGGTTCAAAGAATAATTTACACTGGATGGGACTTCTCAAGACTTGCCAGCCTTATGAAACTCTACCATGCAGTGCTGCCTTGTGTTTACAAAACTATGCTTTCTTAGTTTCAGCCACGGATTAACCAGAAATCATATTTTATTTCTCATTTTAAAAGCTCAGTTTATGTCCTACAGTTATTTTTTTGCTTCTTACAAAACCTCCGGTACTCCCGCGCGGGATCATGCTGAAGAACAGTTCCCAAGTGTCAGCTCAAGAGCTTTCTGCTAAGCCAAGCGGCTCCTCTTCCCACAAGAGGGAGCCCGGCGGTCACCGCAGGACTGGGTCTGTGCCGGCTCGTCAGGGCTTTGCGAGCTCTCGCAGGCCAGCAGAGGGGATGTGCTGTGCGGTCTGTCTGCAGTTTAGCCCCTCATCACAGGATTCTCAGGCTCACATCACAGGTATGTGCCTGCCACCATAATCTTAATGAAATTTTGTATCCTATTAAAATAATACTCTGTTGAGTGCATAAAGTGTCAGCAAAATATTCAAAGATCCCTCCAATTCTCAGTGGAATTTCTGATGTTGTGGTACCTCAATAGATAAAAGAGGGTGTTGTTGTTTAATAGTATTATCCACTAAAAGTTAAGTGTGCACATGGAAATCCCTCATCTGACTCATCAGAATTCTTACTCCCTCCAGAAAGGGCAGAAATGTGGGCCCAAACAGAAAACACTCCAGACTTAAAAAGCCAGAACGTTGAGACTTCAGTAAAATACTGCATGAATTCAGAACACATCCCTGTGACATAACATACCTACCACTGTTACAGCCATGCAGTACGGTCTGAGCAACAAACTACATGTCAGAATTTCATTGGTCAAACTGGCACCAAGCAAACAAATAAGTAGCCATAGGGAAAAGACAATTTATTTTATTTCTGTGATAGACTGAGATTTCTTGAAAGATTTATAGAATTATTTATGAAACATATAGGTTTGATTATGATATAGATTATAATCTATTTTCCATATAGGTAAGACTGTTATGTGTGAAAGTTGAGGAAACAAGTGCAGGAAAAGAGGTTAAAGCCAGGAAACAAAACCCAGGAGGGATGAACTATGCAAAACTAAAGATAAGCCATTTGTGGTATGTCTGAATATACCCCCAAATATTTTGATTGGCATATAAAAATGCATTAAGAGCAGATCTATTTAATGCATTTTGAAACAGTACATGTATTAAAGGTAAGAGGACTCCTGTGGAGTTGTGCTTTTCATTCTTATGGGATGGTATTAGTTCTTGTTGGGGCTATATCCCACTCTGTTCTCTAGCAAACGTACCAGAAAACATACACCTCACCACAGATATGAAAGAAGCAGGTTTATGGGGATATGGGCTGTACCTATCTCACCTTTTCCTGTCACCCAAACAGGTAAGATGAAACTTCAGGT